AAAGACTGGTTCACTTCCTTGTGCTTCGAGCGGAGGGCAACGATGAAAGCTGCTGTACTTTTTCTCCTCTCTTTTCTGCACTATGCGGATTTTTCTCCGTTGTTTTCGGAGAAAGGTGAGTTATTAACTGTTAAAGAAGTTTTGCCTTTTGCAAAACTGTGTTCATGTTATTATACAAATACACGTATCAGAAATGATCAGTCTGTGGTACAATTATGGACACTTACGGATCCCCTAAGTAGACAGGGTTGGAGAATATTACTTTCATAACAGTTTTGCGTTCTTCGCAATTGTGTTTGTGTTCCCTTTGAATCGTTTTGCCTTCGCTTGTAAGTTTTGCTAGGGAATGTAACGGCTTTTCGAGGAAACGACTCAGAAACTAATGATTTTGTTAAACTATAAAAGGAATAGCAATAATTCTTTAAATAATGTTTTGCATATACATCTTTCAGTACTGACATTAATTTATTCGGATTTGTCGCCTTGCCAGTGTGACTTCCCCACCGGCTACTCTGCTGTTATTTGCGGTACTTTCCTACGTATTACAGGAAGGCTGCGGCTGATATTTTGTTCACCAGATCATACTTTTTCATACTGGGTACATACAAACAAAAACACTAAAAGATAGCATTTTTTTTGTCTTTGTTGTTCTTTTTCAGATGAGTATCATTTTAAGTCATGGATGTCACAGGTAAAAAAAAATCGCAAAATGTGGTTAGGAGGTTGCTGTCGGCCGGATTCTCACCAAGTAGAATCGAATATAAAAGTCGTCTGAACCACTGGGTTTTTTAACTATTTTTTTAATCAACTCAAACAACAGAGAATCCAACGAACAGTACTGGTTTGTGATACAGTAGGATAAACAAACAAAGAATAAGGTTAAAGAACATAATAATCGTATTGTATAAGGGACCATGTAAAACTATTATTAGTTCGTAGTTAGTTTCACTTTCTATAGATTTACATAAAAATAAACTTCTGCAAAAAAAACACCTTTAGATCACCTGTTCACTTCTGCAGTTGTTTTATAGGCAACATGTGACACAATCTATGATAAAACATTTTTCTTTAAACCGTGGACTTCACTATATTGCGTGTCCATCTTAGGCAGTGTGATTGACCTGTTTCTTTTCTTGTGCAGCACAACAGAGCTTATGACCTGGAGGAATATTACTACCGACTACAGATATTCACAGAGAACAAGAAAAAAATTGACTTTCACAATGCAGAAAACCACAAATTCACAAGTACAGTTTGTGTGACTTTGTTAGATTCTGTTTGATTCAACTTGGTTTTACTTTATCTTATTTTCTGCATTGTATTGCTCCACAGTGGGATTGAATCACTTTTCTGATATGACATTTGCTGAATTCAAGAAATCCTTCCTTCTAACTGAGCCACAGGTATGATGCCCCTGTTATTGGAGGTGGCTGTCGTTTACAGACTTGCAGACACTCACAATGGCTGGCGGCTGTCATTTACAGACACACAGACATTCTCTATGGTTGATGACTGTCGCTTACCAACATGTAGACACTCCCATTGGTCGGTGGCTGTCGCCTGCCGACATGCAGACATTCCCATTGGTCGTTGGCTGTCATTTACCGACATGCAGACACTTCCATTGGTCGTTGGCTGTCGTTTACCGACATGCAGATACTTCCATTGGCCGGTGGCTGTCATTTACCGACATGCAGACACTCACATTGGTTGGTGGCTGTTTCTTTTTGTCAGAACTGCTCTGCCACAAAGGGTGGTCACATGACCAGAGATGGTCCTTACCCAGATTCAGTGGACTGGAGAAAGAAAGGGAACTATGTGACACCTGTAAAAAATCAGGTAGGCAGACAGTTCTTACATTGGTTGTTGTGTGTTAATGATGCTAATAAATATTAGCATTAGTATATGTATATTTCACCACACTGGTGTTTGTATTATCTTAAGGCAGCATCTCCATAGTTAAACTGCAAAATAATGCTGTGCGTTTTTTACATTAACACTGAACACTGACGAATAAAAAATAACAAATGTTCATATATAGGGTCCCTGTGGTAGTTGCTGGACCTTCTCTACCACGGGATGTCTTGAATCCGTCACTGCAATATCTACAGGAAAACTCCCCTTTTTGGTGAGACATGTAGTTGTACCTCAGCTTTGATCCTTTCCACCATTTACACATTTCTATTTGTATTGGGAAATAATCTGATGATTAGTTTTTCATTTTCAGTTCAGTTATGCTGGAGTGCTTCGAAAGCCTTTGCTCCTCTCTGCACTCTTTCGGCTTATTGCAACACAAATAAGTTGCTTGATCTTGCTTCCTTCTTGTGTGTGCTCAGTCTGCACTAGGGATGAAACAGTTACTGATTTCACGGTAAACCACAGTAACATTCCTGACGGTTAGTATTACTGTTTCAAGTTTGAATTATCATTAAAACCATGGTTGATTACCACGTACGCTTTGAAAAACTCACGTTAAATCCTTTCCAGCATTAACTAAAGTTAGCAACAGTCTCCCACACACAGGTGCCCAGGTGTAGCTTGCAGTGTGGGTTTGTTCAACATTTTTTTGTCAATGGAAACATGGCGGAAAGCAGTGACAGTGCTCCAGAGATTTTTAAATGTCAATACGCATTTGATATAGTTTTCATATGTTTACGTAGGTATAGGTTATGTTTTTATTTTTATGTTTATGCAAACAAAAAGTCAATAGTGCTGCCAATTTTATTTGTGGTACTCAATATAAAAATTGGTGAACTGATTTTAGTTTGTGTATCAGTACTTTTTGAACACTTTCAGCAGATTTTAACAATACCACGATAATACTGTTCTGTGCTATTACTGGTACTGTGCAGAGACATTTTAAGGGGCAGGTACTCTAAGCTTTTGACACAAACATTAAAGCGACACTCTGTAAATTTAAAGAGAGGCACTTTGGCAGAATATTCACATGTCTGTGGGCCCTTGAGCAAGGCCTTTAACCCCCAGCTCCCCCACCCCCACCCCATGTACATCTCTTTTTTTTACAGTCTGAGCAGCAGCTGGTGGATTGTGCCCAAGCGTTCAATAACCACGGCTGCAATGGGTGAGTGATGCATGGAGAAGATAGCCATGTTTTTTATACCCCTTGGTATCTTCAAGGCTCTGCATGTGTCTAACTCACAGCATTTCCCAACAGTGGACTTCCAAGTCAGGCCTTTGAATACATCAAGTATAACAAAGGACTCATGACGGAGGATGACTACCCATACACAGGACGAGTGAGATAGTACCACTGCTGAGTTTGATAAGCCATGTAGCTGATTATGATGTCAGAATACGATTCAGTAGCACTTGTAAAAAGTTGCCGTTTAAGACGACAGTGATTGTTAAAGCCTTGTGTTTTTTTTCTGTGCTCTTTGAAGGATGGCACCTGCAAGTTTAATCCTGGAAAGGCGGCTGTTTTTGTAAAGGAAGTTGTGAACATAACCAAAGTGAGTGGGTGGAGATTGCCTAGGTGCCTCTGCATGTTTGACAGAGCAGTCAATCAGTCTAGGATTAAAACGTTAACACTTTATATTCCATTTGTGTCAGTATGCTGAGATGGAAATGGTGGACGCCGTGGCGAGACTGAACCCTGTCAGTTTTGCATACGAGGTGACTTCTGATTTTATGCACTACAAGGATGGTATATACACCAGGTGAGAATCAATAACCAGGAGGGGGCTGTATGTTCAGGTCACGCACTGCCAGTGTTGTGACAGATTACTTGACATTTCCAAGTGCCAGTTGCGACTGGGAACAAGACAAACATCTGTTAACAAGGAATTGACATCCAACTATTTCATAAATCTGGTGCTCATAGTGTAATTTCTTTTTCAATAAACATGATCTGAGAGATTATTTCTCATTTCCTCATTATTAATTGAAAAACGGATAAGTCACTAACGATGTTTATTCTCTGTAGCACTGAATGTCATAATACTACCGACATGGTGAACCATGCTGTGCTCGCCGTGGGTTACGGTGAAGACAATGGCACCCCCTACTGGATCGTGAAGAACTCATGGGGAACTTACTGGGGACAAAAGGGGTACATTATATAAAATAATTTTATTTCCGAAATATAAAATGTAGTACCTCGATATAACTTTATATTAATAACAGACACACCTAGTGTGTGTAGAAATAAAAAAGGCAACAAAAAAGGAGATCGTTAAAAGACAGTATACTGATCTGACCAATACCTTTTGTTCACAGATATTTTTACATCGAACGTGGGAAAAACATGTGCGGCCTGGCAGCTTGCTCATCTTACCCCCTTCTTCTGGTGTAAAATGTGAAATCGTTATGAAGGAGATAATGAATGGATGAATCATGTCTGCATCATTGTTATAACAATGTTGAGTTTAAACAATTTTTTTATGTTGTTGTTGATGCCTTTCCAGATTTATGATACAAAAGGGAACAGTAACCAATCAGTTTATTTTTATACGCGACATGATTACATGATAAAAATGAGATTGATAATACAAGAAAATACTGATGTTAAATCTTTAATAATGGAACACGAGACATACAAAAATGTATGCGACATAGTTTTGGGATACAGTTTTTTTCTCTAACATCCCGTTTGTTAAAATAATTACAGGTTGCACCAGTGTTGCTAACTGATGTTTACTTAATAAATACATAATTTACATATTTCATTTAGCATGTGTGCTTTTTCCGTACTTCCTAAAATATCAAAACATACTCAATAGACCAGTGGTTCTTAACCCAGTCCTCGGCGAACCCCAGACGGTCCACGTTTTTGCTCCCTCCCAGCTCCCAGCCAATCAGGATCACCAAATGCCTGCTACAGGTGCGCTGGGAACTGAGAGGAAACAAAAACGTGGACCGTCTGTGGTTCGCCGAGGACTGGGTTAAGAACCACTGCAATAGACGGTCTACGCTACCAGGGCCGATTAGTCAGGTGACTTGTTGACGCATCGAAGCTCTGACCCGGAAGCATTTTTTTCAACCAATCGGTGGCGTCCAAAAAGAAGCGGACAAATTGAGCGAAGGCACTTCTTGTTATGGAACTCATTTGTTTTCCTAACACACGTTTTTTGGTAAGCCCGTTAGAATTAAGAAGTATAAATGTATTTGGCGTTTTGTGATATTAAAAATAGTATGGTCACCAAGGTCTTTTACCGTAACTTCGCATTTCATCTCTGTTTTGTTATTAAATGCAGCGTTGGCTAGTTACATTAGGTAACAACGAGCAAACACCTAACTTATTTTTATGGCTGAATTTTTTTAGCATTGATATTTCTTTTATGTATAATGTATCGATTTGTTTATCAATTGACCCTATTAATGTCAGTATCATAATTGTAACAATGTTACGTTGTTTCAAGGTTCAGTTTTTTACGTCGACGTTGATGTGCTAGATGATTTATCTTCGCAATGCCGGCTCTTCCACAAAATAATTTGAAGGAACATCTTGAACGGCACAATGCTGCCCAGAACAAACTTTCGCTTTCAAAAGCCAAAACAGGGTAAGATGAACCGACCTCTGTTTCAGATGGGCTGTAGTTTGTATGCTGTCAGAAATGACACACTCGGGAATTCAGGCCAGCCTATAGTATTGACTATAGTCCGTGTCAACCTGAGAAGAGCAAAAAAACGTAACGATGATATTTCAAAGTATAATGACAAAAATCTGTTGAGAAAAATGTTTTTTCCCAGTTACAGTATATATTTTTAATTAATTTCTTGTTCCATGCTGTTTGACATGTTTGTAATAACGTTCACTAGAACAGCACAATAACTATTTATCAGCAACTGAGGCAAGTACTGTTTTTAGTGTCCTTTTCACGACTAGTATTAAAAGTTCACTTGGTTCTTGACATTGGTGTCTCTTTGAATGGTGATGGTTTGTACTCCGTTAACACTAAAAATGAAGTAGTGAGTGAAATGTGTTTATCTCAATTTGTGGAGTTGTTTCCTACCTTAATGAGAAAATATTGTTTTTGTTTTGGCACAGAACTTTCTCCTTTAAGAAGAAGTCAGAATGTGGTGTTAATAAAGTTACGGTTTCATCAAAGGTAACACATCCAAACGCTTTAGCAAGCAGGAATGTCAACATTCCTTATAGCAGCACTGTGTTTAAACCTCTGACGTTTTTAACCAAGCCTGAAAGAGATCCAGCAAAAGCCAACAGTGTCTTGAGTGACAGCGGGTCGCAAACACACTCTCTGGGATCAGGTGGATCGTCCCAGTGCAAATTCAGACCTCAGTCACCCGCAGATCCTGCTGCAGGAGTCAAAATTGCCAGCGCTGGATTCAGTGGAGGTGGGAAACCTGTGCTGGATGCCTCTTTAGGTATCGAAGAATGGGATGATTTCGATGACTTTGAGTCCCCTGTCCAAATAAAGACAAGCTCGCTGTCCAGCCCTGGGGATTCAAGAAGAGCCGTTAGTAAGGAGGGTGCTTCCTCTGTGACTAAACAGGATGTTAAGACTGATACAGCTGACAAGGACATTCGGAAAAGGTCTCCATGTGCCAAGGCCTCTGGGGCTCTGCAAGGTGGGGAGTTAATGCTAGGAGCATCACTTCGCCCAATAGGCATGCAGGACACATGGAGAGAGGATGATGTCACTGTAGTGAACGAGCATCCAGCGTGTGAGAAGGATCAGGGGGAGTCTGGGGTGATGCCGGTGACGGGACACCCCTCCCTTCATCTCAAGTCACCACTAAGCTACAGGGACGAGGCTGCAGCTGAGCCCAGGTCACCCGACAAAAAGACAGGTTGGCATTCTCCCATCTTAGCTCTGGTAGAATTCATCTTTGGTTGATTTACTACAATGTTTGTGTTTATATGAGTTAAAATTGTGCCCGCTATTTTTCTTTGACTAGGCAACGGAAGTTCAGAGATTGATCCATGTGTTATAGATGTCGATGCTCCACCTGACATTCCAGAAGATAGAGACTTTATTCCCCCTTCACCAGAGGGGTACTCATCAAAGTCACCTTTTTGTTTTAGGTAAAAAACATTATTCATTTTTTTTTTTTAATTTTAACTCTTTAATCGGCACTTTTATTTTTTAACCTATAGCTGAGATATGTTTTATACAAGCATGTATGTATCAAGAAGGACCAAAGAATTTTGTTTGTACTAATACTCAGTGTAATTGCAGCAAATCTGATGCCCAGAACTCTAGTGACATCAGCCATGTGTCACCAAAGAGATCCAGCTGTAGCCTATCAGGGAACACCAAGAAGCCTTTCATTTTTGAAGAGGGAAAATGTAAGTTGTTTTTCTATTTTTTTTCTTACCTCTTCCACTGTGGAATAAGTCTCTCTTTAGAAATTAGCTGCTTGTGCTTCCTTTGTACTGATTGTGCAAGTAGATTCATGCAGGTTGTTTAGGTCTCTACCATGCTCCCATAAAGGTGGAGGATCAGAAATGGGGGGACAGCTGTTCAGCATCATGGAGTCCATCTGCCGACTTGTAGATTCCATCCCTGAGGAAGAGCTCATAGCGCTGCCGTCTGGAACAGAGCTCCTGCTGCAACGAGCTCGCAGGTAAAATAAATAAATAAATAAATGTCAGTGCAGTGTAACTGGATAGCTTTGGTCACCATGAGATGCTGAGGCTGTTTTCATTCTCCTTCCAGGAAGAAATTACTCTCAATGTCTGCTGACACTCCACTGAGATGGCAATCCAGCTGTGAAGCCACTTCGGCAACCAAACTTGACAGATTTCGGGAAAGCGGCAATTTTTTGTTTACCACTCCGCAGCATGCACTGTCTGCTTCCAGTACGGGGCTTTCTGGGAACTCCTTCCAGTTCAGGGGGTCCTCGTCTGCTCCGTCCATTGGTGACAACACAGTCTTCAACGATTCTGACTGCTTTATTAGCAGCGTTCAAACAGAAACTTCCAGAAGAGCTGCTTCACTGTCCAGCCTGACCATCACAGTGGGAAAGGGGACGGAACCCACCCACAAAAGCTATGGAGGCTCCCCTTTGGATTGCAGCTCCGCCACACGCTGCAGCTTCCCCGCCGATCAAACTCATGAGTCTGAGATGAACTCTACCCACTTCTGGTCCACAGAGAGGTCAGTGAGTAGCCCTGAGAGCAGGATGGACACAAACGTCCAGGTTCTGGGGAGTTCTCACGCCTCAGCGGACATGGACCCAGATGATATCTTCATCGACGACTTTGACATTGATGACTTTGACGAGTCAGACATCCCAAAATACTTTGAGAGTCCGCCGAACCAGCCGTCTAGGGCCACGACTGGGCCGATAAGAGAGGGAGGGCCGACCAGGACGCCTCGGGAAAAGCAGTACATGCCTCCCGCTTCAGCGGCAAAGCCAGGCAAGCTTCGCTCTCCAGGTGAGTGTGCGTGACGTCGGCGGCCATGGGTAGTGGGTGCATCTTGGTCCGCATATGTCAGCTCTCTCCCCCCCCCCCGACCCCACCAGAGCCCACGGCTCCAAACCCGGCCCACGACCGCTTCCGGGGCTTCAGCTTCCCCCACTGCGCCGAGATGATGAAGGTCTTCCACAAGCGCTTTGGCCTGCATCAGTTTCGTTTTAATCAGCTGGAGGCCATCAATGCCACGTTGCTGGGCGAGGACACCTTTGTCTTAATGCCTACAGGTCTGTGCAGAAAAATAAATAGACACTACCTTGAGGTGCATTTGTCATATTATACTATGCAGAAGCCATCATATAAATGTCTTCTTTGGTTTTAAATTAGAATGTTTCTATAACAAAAGCTAGCTGATGCATGTTGGTCTTTAAACAGTCCTCTGCAGATGGGCATGTTGTCCTGTAATATCGGTTTACGCTGGCAGAATGATCACTCTGAAATCTGCGTGACGAGTCACATGTCATTGCTGTGTTGTTATAGGGGGGGGTAAAAGCCTCTGCTACCAGCTGCCTGCGTGTGTCTCCCAGGGAGTGACTGTGGTCATTTCCCCTCTGCGCTCACTCATTGTTGACCAGGTGCAAAAGCTGACGACACTGGATGTAAGTTTTTTTTTTTTCTTTTCTTTTTTTTTCCTTTTTTGTCGTCTGCTGTGCTGCATTTTGTCTGGTCTCCTGTGCTTTGGCTGCCAGGGCCGGTCACCCCTCTGTCTGTCTGATTACTGTGCAGATTCCAGCCACCAGTTTATCGAGAGATAGGAGTGACAGTGAAGCTGGGAAGATTTATATGCAGCTGTCCAAGAAGGATCCCATCATTAAGCTGCTCTACGCCACACCGGAGAAGGTGACGTCCTTTCACGCCTCATACTGTCGGTTTTTCATTTTGGTGTTTGTGCTTTTTAGCCACAACGACGCCACTTGCTGAGTCTGAAACGCTCCTGCAGGTGTGTGCCAGTGGCCGGATGATAAGCGCACTGCAGAATCTCTATGAGAGGGGCCTCCTGGCTCGCTTTGTCATCGACGAAGCCCACTGCGTCAGTCAGGTATGTGCCCAGCGCGAGGCGGCAGTACCCCGAAGGCTCCGTCATGCACCTCCTGCTGCCGCGTACTCAGATCTTTTTCATTCGGCTTCACCAGGGATCCCACAGGACATGAAATTTCTGGAAAATCATGGAATTTTTATGTCTGTTCCTGACGTGGAAAGTCAGGGGATCTGATTTTTTTTTTTTTTTGGGGCCAATATCTGGGAATTTTGTTTGATCGAAATGTGTGTCGTCAGAATGTAATACTTTCCGTGCAGTATTTATCTTTAAAAGGTTATTCCACTCGTTTCTCATATTGCATGAGTGGTTGTTATTGGTTATTTAATTTTGTTGCACCCATCTATACCCTCCCTGCTCGTCACAATGGGAAATCACTTCAGTCAAGGTGCGCAGTGTCCTGTAGCTGCTAACCAAGGCGAACATGCCAGGGAAATGTACATTTCAAGAGCTTTGGCTACGAAATGTGCTTAAAAATGATCAAACGGAGCAGATGGCATTCAGGAGGTTATTCAGGAGGAAACCTTTGCTTTATCCGTGGATCTTTGTGATGCTGAGGGAATGACAGAAATGTCAGCTGAAATCAGGCTGAGAACGGGCATGCCAACCATCCTGCCCGTGCCCCACATGCCAGCTAATCCGCCAGCAGGTGCATTAGGAGGGAGAAATGATGTGTGTGTTGGCTGCCAGGTCATGGGTCATGGCGGCAGACGTGATGGGAGCAGCTCATGCGAGACACACAGATCTGTAGCACGCAAGCTAGTTTGTGTGCCAGTTATTCAGAAGATAGCAGAGGCTGATAAGTATTGGCATTTAAAGAATTTGCGACTCGCTCTTGCGCATTATTGCGGTTGTTGCATGTTATGTGGATAAAAATAAACATGGATACTCTTGAGTTTTATATCTATATATTAGATGGCTGTGTTTAAACAGGCCTGTCAGGCTGTTTCATGTGCTTCTGTTCCCATAACGTTTGCTGTTCCAGTGGGGCCATGACTTCCGGCCTGACTACAAGCGGATGTACGAGCTCCGGCAGAAGTTTCCCAAAGTGCCCATCATGGCCCTCACGGCGACGGCGACGCCCCGCGTCCAGAAGGACATCCTCAACCAGCTGCAGATGAGCAAGCCGCAGGTGTAAGTGTGAGCTGGCGCTCGATGGCCACCAGGTGGCGCCTGAGAGCCGTGCCTTCAGATATAATTAATGCATTGACTTCCTCATGTCTTCATTACTTCGACAGGTTTACGATGAGCTTTAACAGGGATAACTTGAAGTACACCATCCTGCCAAAAAAACCTAAGAAGGTCGATGTTGACTGCGTAGAATGGATCAAGAAGCACTATCCACGTATGTGCACACTGAGGCCAGTTTAAGCTGCTGTTATATCGACTGCCAAGCTGAGCTCTCGTATATGTGCCTCCTTCAGGGGACTCTGGCATAATCTACTGCTTGTCACGCAACGACTGCGACTCGATGGCAGAGAGCCTGCAGAAGGCTGGCCTGGCAGCGCTGTCCTACCACGCGGGTCTGAACGACGGCGACCGGGAGTACGTCCAGAGCAAGTGGATCAACCAGGACGGCTGTCAGGTAAGCGTGGGGCCTCTCTGTGCTTTTGGCGCCCCGGATCCGGAGCTGTATGTCACTCCGCTTCAGCTCGATGCACGGCCGCACTCCTTCAGCCTGTATCCACTTTCCCAGTTTGCCCAATACCCCCCCCCCTCTTTATCACCACTCATAAGAACATAAGAACATAAGAACATAAGAAATTTACAAACGAGA